AGCTGGACGGCGGGCTGCAGAGGGGGTGGGGGTGGGGTGCCGGCCTAGTGGCGCTCTGCCCCCGGGGGCGGGTCTAGACTATCCTGAGAAGGGGTCGGGCTGGAGGTGGGAGAGGTAAGGTGGAATTGTTTGTCCAAGATGCAGCTGAGCTCCAGCGGCGGGACCCAGAAAGTTTGAGTCTGGGGTGGGAACCGGGAAGGAGTTTTTTGTGGCTGGGGGCTTGGGTTTGAGTTCCCTGCCCGGCAGGAAGCGTTTGGATTTGGGGGCGGTGAGGGAGTGAGGCTGGTCAGGGTTCTGACCTGAGGAACGGAGCTAAAGTATCCTGGGACTGGTCAGGAAGGATTCTGATTCTGGGTGAGGGCCGGTCCCGCAAGGCTGTTGAGGCCGAAGAAGAGGGATTCTGAGTCTGGGACCCAGGGCTTGGGACGGGACTCACCCCTCCTCCCCCAATCTTCCTCAGGCTCTAATCCCCTGGACGAAGAACCCCGAGCTGTCTGGCCGGCCTTTCACCGTCTCCGACCAGGGCGTCCTGGACCGCCACCAGCTCTACCTGACCACCTCGGCCCGGGACTTCCGGTTCTACCCGAAGTGAGCCCGGGGCCTCGCCCGGCACCGCCCTCCTGCAGAGCCCCCGCGAGGGCCCGTGGGACTCCGAACCCCCTGGGTGTGGCTCCCCTTCTCTGACTCAGTCGTCTCAGTCTTCAGCTCCTGCACACGCAAGACCCAACTTCAGACCCCGTCCCCTACCGCTTTTAGACCCGGGTGTCCATAGCGTCAACTCTTAGGAACAGCAGTAGGGACAGTTAGACTGCAGAGGGGCTCGAGAGGGGGCGCCGGGTCTGGGGCGGGGCCTCCTTCTGCACTTGAGCCCCCAGACACTCCCTCCAGGCATGCGAAGGCCAGCCCGCTTCCAGGCCCTTAAGCACCCCGAGGGCCAAGGAATCCAGGCTACACGTTCCAGATCCCGTTCTTCCTAAGGGGTCCCCCGACTCCTGCAAATGTGCCCTCGCCTCGAGACGCAGGAGTCTGGGTCTGCGGCGTCCTCAGGACGCGAGGTCTGAGCCTCAGCCTCGTCCCGAGGATCCGGCTGTGTCCTCCCGGTCCTGCCTGCCTCCCACAGGAAGGAGCTGTCCGGATACCCCCGCAAGGACGCCCTGACCTACTGGAGCTTCGAGGAGACGCCGCAGGTCTGGGGCCACGGCCCGCAGCGGCCGCCCTGTCCGCGCTCCTCTCGGCCGCCCCTG